TAGTCAGTAATATTTTTAAATCGCATATTAAATATATGCTATAATCTATAGTTTTTCCTGAACTTTCAATCTAATAAATAATGAAAACATAAATCATCATAAATAAACTATATAAATAATATTTGATGAATATGGAATAATAAAAAGCTTAACTGGAATATTATGTATAAAAAAAAAAAACTTAAAAAAAGAAAAATTAAAGAATATTAGAAATTAAAAAGCAAACATTATTTACCTGTAATTTTAATCTAACTTTGCAAATTTGCTTCTCAATTTCTAATATTCTTTTTTAACAAAACTCCTTGAATACTAACTTAAAAAAAATTAAAATAAATTAACAAAACTCCTTGAATAAAAATTTAATGATATCAAAATGCACCGAATTTAGTTTTTTACTAATGAAAACCATAAGTTTTATAAATGAGGGATTATAATAGACAACGAAAGACAACAAAAAGTCATTGATTCAAAGTTATTCAATTCTATGAACAATTTCTTTTTTTGATTTTCTAACAAAACTAGAAAAACTCTGCACATTCTTGGTAATCCATCTAATAGTTCTAATTTATCTGCAATTTGATTGCAAAAAAATCAAATAAAAAGTCAAAATCCAAAAATTAAAGTGTATGTAAACATTTTTACAAAATTTAGTGTTATGTATAGATGTTTTCGAATTTCCTAGAAGTTTTATTTTATTACAATCTCATTTTACTTACTGTACAATATGATCACACTGTCTATAAAATGGCATAGAATTCATGAATAATGCTTGAAATCCATTTATATTAGCATTATCCAACAATTTAACAGCTTTTTCACTTTCCGATTTCACCCTCAAGTACACATCTAGTAACAATTGTGAGCATATATTCATATGTCCTGTTCCATCAACAAAAACTACATCATAATTGAATCAAACTCAAGAAGTGAAGGCTGATTTTCTTTTAATTCTCCCGAATATAGAGATATCCCATGCTCATGCAACATACTGTTTGCTAAAAAAAAAAATATTAGCAAAATTTAAAATAAATGAAGAATGGTAAGTGTTTACTTCAAATAATTTTAATAAACGCATGCAGCAACTTTTGCAGCAAAATGAAAAAATACCTAAACTGTTCCAAACATTTCTTATATTTGGTAACTGCTCATTGCATTATTTAACTTCCTTTGTTTCACTAGATATACCATATACATAGACATTATATACCCTGTAAAACCTCTGCAACTTGTATCGAACTGTCTCTGCTTAAGCCAAATATTCAACAAAATCAAACCATCTTTTAAATTTTGATTCTTATCAAAAACACTTAATCTCAAGGCTTCATTTTCACTCCTTGCCAAATCTTGCAATACCGAAAAATTATATCTCGGAGTTGCTTCCCCAGCTTCTGAATCCTCTGATCCATCTCCAGTAAACCAATTTTTCTAACATTGCTTTTACTAGGATTAAATCTGTTCAATTTAAAACTATCTTCTTCGCATGTCGAATGGACAATAATTGAAATGTGCTTGCTTAAATTACCTAATGGTGTAACTTTAAGCAAAGGTTTTAAAATATCACCTTTGTGGAAGAATTCAAGCTTTTCAATAATTTAGATTTTTGCAGTTTGTTAGCAATATGGCATAGATACATAGCACGCTTTTTATGATATCTTTGATTCAGATAATCCATCTTTTGAAACATTTTCTTAGGCATTTCTACACTGATGTCAATATTAACTATACTGCCTAATGTCACATTTAAATTATAAGATCCGACAATATTCACAGATGCTGGTTTATAAAATTTAAATACGCCTTTTGATTCTCTTGAATCCACACTTATTGGAAATTTAACATTCATAGATTCTAACCAAATAAGATCTGATATTTCATATTCATTTTTTTTATCCTTGAGACTACCAATAACACTAGCAAATTCTTCATACCAAGTAGTGAATAATTTTACATATTTTGATTTTAATTTAACCTCGCTTAACATTTCTTCGATTTGCAATCTAAATAAATTTGAGTAAAAAGATTTTCAGTTTCTCTTAATTGATTTAATTCTTCTACGGTGGGTTGTTTGTATAAATCATTTTTAGGTTTCTTAGCTTTTGGAGCATCAGTAGATTCTGGTTTGGCCAAAACAATTTTCCAACTTCCGTTTGTTCTTCATCTTGTGAATCGATTTCAGAACCTTGGGAGTCATCTTCTGAGTCAATAAACTAAAAAAAGTACAATATAATTGACACATACCCAGAAATATATATATATATAATAATAATAATGGGTACTGCTGCCCTAGAGCTGCCCGTGAGCTGAGTTAAACTCCAACTCGATTCAGGGAAGAAGTAGTGTGAGAGTTTTTCCCATTTCCATTTCACACCGCAGTGCCCGAGATGGGCTTATTTCAATTAGAAACATATTTTGATCTATATTTTCAATTGAAAACGGACATCGCGCTGCCCGATGTCAGGTTGCCAAAGCGGGGAATATATATATATATATATATATATATATAATGTAAATATGAATAGTAGTTTACTCTACTCTTGCACTAACAATAAAATTCATACAGTACTAAATCAAAAAGGTTTGAAAGCCTGATTTGCCTCATCACAGTTTACAATTATAATGCAAATAATATATAATAACATATTATATAAGTTATTGTAAAATATGTTAAAAATGGATAATAAGAATTTGTAAAAGCAACCAATGTAAAGAAAAGCATACATTCAAAAGTAAGTTTACCTTTTAAAGAAAATATAAAATACAAATAAAAAAGGTACAATAAATAAGAACGAAATAAGAGAAAGTTATATTAGCAAAAAATGTATTATGGAAAGTTATTAAATATCATATCATTCTCTACCAAAAATTATTCTAACTATATACATCAATTATCAGACATAACCTCACTTCCTTACATTTTCTTCGTTTTCTTTTGTTAAGCAATGTCATGTTTATTGTTCTTAAGATTTAACAAGAAACAAAATAATATAATTAATACTGTAAAATTACACAAGCACATATGAATATTACTAATAGTAAATAAAAAAAACACGTCAATTTGAAATATATTATGATATTAGCACATGGCGCGTACATGTACATACCAATTGCCAGAAGAGCGAAAGGGCGTAAGCTGCGTCTCCATGGACAAATTCTTACTTCTCAGTGCTTATGATTTTATTAATATTACAGTGTGATGCCAATAATAAGGTAAAGCAATATATTATGAACTAGAGTATAACTACAATAATATGTGTAGATTATATTATTTTTAATCGGTAAGAAATCTATGCAAAAAAATAAATAAATAAAAAAATAAAGATCTGTGTATAAATTATTACTACTTAATATTAAATTCGTTTTAATGTATTTTGATATTATTTATTCTACAGTTTATATAGTTTGAATAAAATAATTTGTATATATTTTAATTAGGTTAACTAGTTAATTAACTTCCCATAAGGTGAGTTATAGCAATGGGCCAAAAATCGAAAAAGAAAATATTTGCATATCTTCACGTTTTTACTGGTTTCTGAAAATTTTGGCATACATAAGAGAAAAATGGATGTGTGGTTGTGTGTCTGTATGTGTGGAGACAATTTTTCGTCAACGATTTTGGGCTTACGGATGTACCGATTTGTAAAATTCAAAAAGCAATCGATTTCTATTGATAGGGAGATATGCTGATTAGTTTTTAAATAAGACAGGTCCAGCGGCTTTACTTACTAAATATGTTAGTTTTCAATAGAATGGATCAACCGATTTGAATGATCTAAAACACGTTCGATTCGTAATGATGGTAAGAAATGGTGATTAGATTTTGGCAAAGGCAGGCTGAGCCGTTTCGGAGGTATAGAGCTAATGTGCAAAAACGTGCAATTTTTGAAAGAACTAAAACGTCCGATTTGAATGATTTAAAGAACTTTCTACTTGTGTTGACAAAACGATTGCTTTTGGAAAAATATTTTTTTCATTTTAATTTTTTTTTCAATTTTTTTTATATACAGAAAATAATTCAGATTTGAGTTCTGATTCTAGCTAAAGTTCTGAAGACCACCACTATATACTCTGAGTAAATATTTTAACTTTGTAATTCAGTATATAACTAATTCTTACAAATATTAACCAATGTTACAGTATGTATTTATAATAATCTATTTGAAAGCATTTAATATTTCTCGAACATTTCGTTACGGTACGGAAAGTTCCAGCAATTTGCCTTAAGGCACGAAGCAATACACCACTAGTTGATTTTATATCATTTCTTATATATTGATTGTCTAAAGACTTTTAGATGAGTTCCAATAGTAGTAATTTATTGTATACTTGTAATTATAAATTCGAAGTTATATTAATGCATCAATAATTGGTTTACGATACGATATTAACAAGATAATCAAAATAAATCTTGTAAAGTACAATTATTAGAAAAGCATTTTTTCACAAATAGAACTGTAGCTTAAAATCTCATGAATGACTTTGACATTACCGGACATTACCAACATAGAGTAAATTAAATCTATTTTTAAATCTTTCACTATTTCGTAATAATTAATTATAAATTATTAACTTAATAATTAATTAATATTTATTACGAATAGTAACTTTAATAAAATTTCATTCATTGAAAATCTTTCTACCCTTTCTACCTTTTCTACCATTATTTTTATTTATCGACTTTAATAGTATATTTATGATTATTGACAGTTTTAGCAGGGTAACTAATTAAAAATATCTTAAATCTTAATAAAGATTTCAATTTACCTAATGTAGATATATTTATTATGACATGTATTTTAAAGTACAAAACTTTATTTACACTTATTAAAATTATAAATCTAATTAGATAATACCAAACAATTTATTGAGTAAAAACAATATTTTGCGATGATACGTTTCAAGTCAAATGTATCATTTACTAACTCTATTTTAATGTTTGTTATGAATTTTTATGAAAAGTATTTTCTGTCGAATCGCTTGACATTTCTATGGCAAACACATCCGCGTTCGCCTGCCGCCATCTGTTCATGTAAACAAGAAGCTAAAAGTAACCAAAATGAAGAAAGTAGCGTGTGTTTGGTTGTCTGGCGATATTAATAAATAACATTTGTTTATTATTGGCGTATATTTATAGATTTAAGCTTGAATTTAGTGTCAAGTTTATTAATAGAGCCGTCACATGAATGGTTAAAACGACTAATTTATACAATAAATCCACTAAGCAAGGAGTTATCGCCTGTGTGTTTTGATGTGTCGTCCTGAAGTACTATGTGCAACTTGCAATGGTCCATATTATAATTCGAAGAGAAGTGACATATTAATGTGGTAGAAAAATAACAATTAATATCATTATGTGAGTGTTCCCTGTCAGATTATTCATATGGATTTGCTTGTATGTTTATACTCTGCATTTTGGATGAAGTTTCAAGTCACGTTTGACACTTCGTATATAAATTTTGGTTATAATGATGTGAGGTCTAAATTTATGCATACCCCCCAAGTGGGTGCAGAAATAAAGTTTGTTTTATGACTATTTTTGTATTAAAGTTGGGAATATCGATTATGATTGTAAGAGATTAATTATTTCAGCTGTGAAATCGAATTAATATAATACTGCTGGATTCTGGATGATTTATAATAAATTTGTAAAATAACTTAGTATTCCGAAGTAATTCTTTAATTTATGTAATGTTGCAATCCTTATAAATAAAATTGCATTTAATATGTTCTAGTGCCAGCTCTCGGTTTCTAACTTGTCATTTAGATTCACATATATTTCCACGTTATTTGTATTTTGTTGCAATGAAGAAAGTAACTGTTATTGAATTCTAAAAACTTTGGCTTTTGTTCTATAATAATTATGAAGACATAAATACTATGATCATTTTTATTATTATTGAGAATTTTATTTCACCTCGACTTTTCCTTGCAGGTTCTTGAAGGTTTATTACTATTTTCTATTAGTAAATAAAGTGAAACAATGCACGTGATAAAACAATACATATTGGTATGGTTTAACAAGTAGTTCATAATGAGCCATAATATTGCCGGCATGGCCCCATACAGGATGGCTGGTCCTGGTCTAGGGCCACCTGACTTCAAACCTCCAAACGAGGCACCTCACATACCGCACCCGCGCCTAGTAATCCTAAAAAGAGACGGAAAAATGCAAGCGCAGCCAGCAACCAATTACCTCCAACACCAGCGCCCAGTCTACAAGACTTACTACCTCCCCCATGTTCTGGATTTGGTGATACTATTGTGGCTTCAAATCCTTTTGATGATATGCCATTTCCATCTTCTATGTCTCACAATGGACCGATGGGACATAATGCATTGGCAATGCTGGGTCATAATGGACCTCCGCATTCTGGTATGAACCCTCATCTGCATCACCATCCGCATCATATGGGTGGACCTCCTTGGGGAGGTCCCATGGGGCATATGGGAATGCCCAATCAACACATGCCTATGCCCAACATGAATAATTCAAGGCAAATGGGAAGTCCTATGACAGCAGGACCTATGGGCAGCCCTATGAATATGCCTATGGGTTCACCTATGGGTGGTCCAATGGGCAGTCCAATGAACACAATGAATCCTATGAATCATATGGGTAACACACCTATGGGACCTCCCATGCATAGTCCACTAGGGCCAATGGGTAATGGACCATCAAGTATGGGAGGTCCGAGAATGAATGTTCCAAATAGTTCGAGACCAATGAGTAGTCCTATGAATTCTGGTCCCATGGGTAGTCCAATGAATTCACTCCCTTTAGGCTCTCCTATGGCACCTATGGGCAGTCCTATGAATACCATGAATTCAGGCCACTTGAACAGCCCTATGGTACCTCCAATGCACAGTCCTTTAGGACAAATGGGCAATGGACCTGCGGGTATGGGAGGACCAAGGATGACAGCGCCTAATGGGAGCATGGGTCCTAATGGACCAGGTCAAGTTCCTGGTGGAAATCCTTTAAAT